AGGCAGTATTACAAAACGTTTCGAATTCTATACACTTGGGTATTTTATGTTAGTTTATTCTCTTTAATCGTATCTATTAACTAAAAGATAAGTATTCGGTACGATGCCATAAATAATGGATTATTGGATGTACAACTGTTTTTATTTGCATCCAATAAATGTGATTCTATGAGAAGCATGTGGTTTAACTTCAGAATGATATTCAAGTTATCTAGATTCAAGTTATCTTTGAGATTGCCACCGTAAAATAACTGGCTTCGAGATTTGTTGTCTCTTCTTCTGTTTGCATTATTCGATCGTGTCTATAATATTATTGCGTTAAACAAAGCTTGAAAGATGAGTGCTTCGCACATTGTGACGTCTGTAATTGTGACATTAGCCTGGAGCCCATAGGAAAGCCTGCTATTTCTGCTCACAATACAGAAATTTTTCCAGTCGTCCTTATTTTGGGTTCCAAATCGATGAAATCTCTGGTTATATGGGTTTCCAAAACATCTGGATTATAAAACTCAAAATTTTATTAGCAGTTTGAACAAACAGAAAGCAAATTTTCACATGATATCACAGTGAAATTCTTGATATTTATTTCAACTTATAATCGCATCACTTCGATTCCGATTAAACGTTATCTGCGTGACAATATGAATCTTTATGTATTGAGAATTTGCAATGAAAATATTAAAGTTTTATGAATGTTGGAATGCAGCATTTGCTTCCGCAACATATTTATCAAAACAAAAATAAGAAAGATACCAATAAATGATCATGTGTCTGAAAGTTAGTAGATACTGTATCAAGTAAAACTACACGCTGGTTGATAAGTAAGTACAATACAGGTCAATAGCTTTGTGAAATGAAACGTACATATGTGCAAACGTATGCTGGTTTTCAAGGTGAAACTGCGCTCTGGTTCAAAGGTTCGTACGATTGGTCATTAGGACCATACTGTAAAGCATATTTTGCGGCCCCCCAATGATCTTTGATGAACCCAACAGGGCTACAAACCGTACCGGAATGGCCGGGACAGTCCCGGAATTGACGTCTGGCGTCCCGTGTTCCCGTGCTGGGTCACGATTGTCCGGGAATTTACTGCAACCAAGGCGTTCTAAAATAGAAGGCCGTGTATGCGTGTTGGCATTGTTCAAATCTGGAATAGGATGTAATTCAAGAGAATATATTTTTTTTAAATAAAAACGATTACATCTGTATGGGTCATTCAAACAGAAGTGACTTGAACCTTGTGGATAAGACATGTTTCGTCAACCGTGACGTCCTGATGACATACAACTAAAATGAGCTGAACAATTGCAAAATGAATGACAACATTATATACAGCAGTCACCTTAGTTTGAGAGGATCATTCAACTTGGTATATTAATTGAAAAAACGCAGGTAGTTTTAAAACGGTTCTCTAATAAGACCCTGTTTTATTTTCTAAGAAAGACGGTACCGTTTTATTCGTGTTACTTATGTGCGACACAAAATTCCCATGCAGACAAATGTAAAATGATTACGCAAACTGGTTTTTCCAGCACAGTCGCCTAAGCGACTCACAAATTTTTTTTTAGTCAAAACGCGTAAAATTTTACTGTGGTAGAGGGAAATGACGTAAATGGTAACATATGGGCGGCTTGAGGTATGAATACTAGTAATTTTAAATCAGATAGAGACAGGACTGTATAATTGCGGTAGTCGTGCTGAGAATTTTCAGGGAAAAATTCACAGGGTGGCTCTTTGTAGCCAGTCGGAAAGATATATTTTATATTCGTGGTTCGTATAGGACTAGTTCTTTGGGCCATGCGTAATACAAACCGGGCCACCCAACTTCACAAGCCGAGCCAAGTTTATTGCAAGTTTTTGGGATGACATTAGGTGTTTTTATTAAATCGCCCAGCGCCATGATTTCTTACGTCCAGGGTTGTACCAGGAATATTCGACATAATGGAATACAGTTCATTTGTCTTTTATAGGCGAGTTCTTATTATAAATGGTAGTTATTACTTATCGGCTTTATTACTTATCGATTTTAATCGGTAAGTATGTTGATAGGTATTTGTCTGTCTGTCTGTATGTCTGTTAGATGCACGCGATATCTCACGAAAGCGAAATTGAATCTGCTCCAGATTTTGCATGTGCATTCATCTTATCTCGGACCAGAAGCCTATTGATTTTGGGCGAATTATGTCGTATAATTAGCGAGTAATTAAATAATTAGAGATGGGACCCAAGGTGTCACTATGGAGTAAGAGCGCTGTTTTGAGGGATCCCTAACTTTCGATCGATAAGTCTTCGGTCTCTGATATTTTGAAAAAGATATTTTTTTTTCAAATAAAAATGATTACATCTGTATGTGTCATTCAAATAGAAGTGAGTTGAAACTTGTGGAACACTAAAATATGCTGAACAATTGAAAAATGGATGACAACATTATATACAACAGTCACCTTAATTTGGGAAAATCATTCAACTTGGTATATCAATTGACAAAACGCTGGTAGTTTTAAAACGGTTCTCTAGCTGTAAGTTGGTAAAAAGCAAGTAAAGGCGAAGATAGAATTATATTTTATTAGTTTTTATAAACTCAAATTGATATTTAGTACTTATTAATACCTTCCATATGAAAGAGTTGTGAAAGTGTGTGGGTTTCCCTGAAGACCACAAAAAAAGAGATTTGGAGAAAAAGCTATACCTGGAAAAATAGCACTAGTGGTCCTTTTAAGTGTTCAAATGTTATTTTTTTCAATTAATACAGTAAATTAGACAAAGCTTTAAAACACTTAATCTAGTGAAATTTGTTGGAAAATTTAATCATTAAAGTTGCGGTGTGTAACAATATTTTGTGTTGTTTTGTTTTTAATTTGTAATGCACTGCTAGTGTGAGGCTACATTACAGCAGGTTTTCATTATTCAGGCTTGCATAGCATGCTATTTTAGGACGTCTTGCTGACAGCTCTATGTCTTAGCGAGAGTTCATTGGTTATTATATTCCCTTAGGTATTACAAATTTAACATAAACTTGGCAGGGAATTGAAATACCAGAAAGACTGTTTTTTTTTTGTTGAATAATTCAATTTGCTTGGAACAAATTGTACATTCTCTTTGTTTTATTTTTTTTCGCATTTATGCCTCGAAGAGTCAACATTACATAAGTTTCTTAATATATGATGAAATTATTTACAGCGCACATACTTATTGACACGCAACGCGCACTGTTGCTTTCGTTTCACAAGCTTCTGTTGCATCAATTTTAAACATTAACAGATTAAAGTGTCCCGGAATGGTTTAACATCAAGTTGTAAACCCTAGAACCCAAACATATATCATAATATCTGCGGCGTAACGAATATAAACGATTTTTCAATTCGGTATCATTCTTCCCATCCCGTACAGCGCATGATAAGACTAGGGATTGTGTCATCACAGCAAATACATAAACGAGAATATCGGTCAGAGACCGAAGACTTATTGATCGAAAATTAGGGGATCCCCAAAACAGCGCTCTCACTCCATAGTGACACCTTGTGTCCCATCACTAATTAATTAATAACTCGCTAAATATACGACATAATTTGCCCAAAATCTATAGGCTTCTGATCCGAGATATGATGAATGCACATGCAAAATCCAGAGCAGATTGAATCTCTCTTTCGTGATATATCGCGTGCATCTAACAGACAGACAGACATACATACAGACAGACAAATACCTATCAACATACTTACCGATTAAAATCGATAAGTAATTACGTATTGTAACGTAAACAGTGGTTACTTAGCTCGCTCATCGCACCCTCTAACTATCCTCGGAAATGCGCTCCACAACGTTATTACACCGCGTCCAGCTTGAAGGGAGTGAGTCATGGCGACAAAGAAGAGGAAAGTAAACGACGAAAACCGGTTTTTAACTCTGCGTGGAACAATGAATTTGCTTTTGCAGAGATAAATGGGAAACCCATGTGTCTTATTCGTCAAAGAACAGTTGCCGTGCTGAAGCGAGCAAATTTACAACGACACCACTCACAGCTTCACCCGCAGATCAAAATTGCCTATACATCTGGTTGTGATCTTGGGAAAAAGTTTTTAAAGTACTTTTGAACAAAATGCGGACTCAGAACTCTCATTAAGAATAAAACAATTGTAAAACGTTTTTGTAATTGAAAAACATTGTTACTGTTAGGTATAATTGTATTTTTTTTTCTATGTTCTAAAATTCGGTCATAGTTTTCGCTATAGAGGAGAAGTTGCAACTGCAAACTTACGAATGCTATCCATTAACCATGTTTTGAAATGCATATGAAACATCAGTATCGAACTAATAAATGAATTAAATAGTACAAATACAGGGTAATAATACTCTGTGCCCCGTCGCATCTTTCGTATTCGAAATGCGTTGAGAACATCTGCTGTAAAGCGTATCGAAAGTGCAATCAAACTCACCAGGTGCAGTATACTATATCTCAGGATTATGGCCCTACTGCATTAGTCTAATTTTGAAATTTAAGTCCAATTAAATTAATTGAAGTTGCCAAATGAATTTGATACGATAGCATTTTTTTGCTATTCTAATGTGAAAAAAGAGGCTACGCATTTATCACGACATATGAATTGGTCTGCAAAAGAAATGGGCCATTATGCAATGAAACATTTGGTTTAAATCCTGCTGTGTGCGAATTAAAAGTGTTGCTTATGCGACAAAAGTTACTCCTGAGCTAAGTGCAAAATTACAATTGCTCTAACCCGATTTACATATAGATTAACAAGCCATGCAGTCGATTGTGAGGATTAGTCATAGCCAGAAATAATTGCTGACCTACTGACAATTGTGATCCCAATGAACTACTTTGTCGCAGCAAAACCTACGTTATTTCGTTCCCAATGTTGTGAACTATTGTCGGATGAAAAGAGCCACGGTTGCAAATAAAAAATATTCAAAACACATGTGCTTTATTCTTGATTAAATTCAAAGGAATATAACTCGCGTTTTTCTGATTTCCTATCAAGTGCTGTTCTAGTTTTAATACAGTTTGGTCGAGGTTTTATTCATTTGCGTTCTGTGAGGAGCTTCAATGTAGGTGAAATAACATGTCTCATATGTACGGTAACGTCGAACCACCAGAGGAGACAAACGAAAATGTTTATGAGGAGTACATAAATCCCACTGCGTCACCTGGAGCCTCAAGACAAGGTAGCAGACAGGCTATCATCAAAGTATTAAATTTTCCTTTTTAATGTAAATAGCGATTTTCTTCCACTGTCAAATTGCTCGTGAAACCGTCGCTGCTGGCCCACATATTTCAACAGAATATAATATTTGGATTAGGTAGACATATGTGTTAGTGTCTCGCAATGCTATAATAAAGTTCACAAAATAAAGCTTCAATTAGGGGTCAGATGGCCTTCAAAACATTGTATTTTGATACCAGATAACTGTCACCTAAAATTATGATAAACTTTTTATAGATGATGCTGGTGAAAAAAACTCTGAAAGTAAGAATCGAAAAATCAGTTGGTATAACATCGCCATAAGTACTGCTGTCGTCTTATCTATTGGACTAGCAGCATGCGGAATGATTTTCACTGTTCAGGTAAATGCTTAACGATCATTTCCGTATAAAATAAATCTATGGTTTCCTACTGCATTTGACTGACTGGGCAATCTGAGACAATGCTTGTTGGCATCTAATCTCTTTATTTGTCTTTATTTCAGAATAATAACAGAATTCAAAAACTAATGGAGGGTAAGTACCCTTTAATCAGTGGTGGGATTCAGCCGGTTCGCACCGGTTCTATAGAACCGTCTCACGGAATTTTATGAGATCAGCGAACCGGTTAGCATTACTGGTTACTTTCAATGTTCTGTTTGTAACAGAACCGGCCGAAATATATAAATTTTATGAAGGAACCGACTGACAACAAATTTGAATCCCACCACTGCCTTTACTTCAAACTAATGGAAAAATCAATTTTATCAAATTGAACATCTAGTAAATAGAAATAATATAGAGTGGTTCAAGAGTCTTGCTGCACACTAACACAAATATATTTCTGTAACGTTTCGTCTGACCAAGGTCAGACTTCTTCAGGCATACATAATTCAACTACAACACGAAAAGCAGTTACCATGCATATTTAAACAATCATAGTAGAATTATAGGAGTCACGCATGTTAAATAATCAATAAAATCTGTGAATTTCTTGATTAAATAACAGCGGGTGGCCGAAATAAGTGTCATTGATGAGATCTCTCTCTTTGTTTTATATTTAGCAATTGAAGTCCAAATTACACAATGGTGTTTTATTTCTCAGTATTGTATAATGCAGACCAGAAAAGTTGTCTGTGTGTCAAATGTAATATAGTGATATTTTGTCTGTTATTATCATATCTGGCCATGCATGATCCAATTCTGAGAAAAAAATATATTAGGTACAGGAATTGATTAAAACAATGAATGAAAATATCTAAACTTCCTTAATATCCATCCCTCGTGGCTCGTGTGTCCCGAAAAGATGAATGTAATGGGATTCCTTGTTCTTTCGATAAATGTGGTCATGAAATAGTTTTTCAATGCCAATGACACTCAAATCTTTAAGCGAATGTCCCGGTTGACTGAAATGGGCGCCAAAAACCAGATCTTTGTTTTGGGTTTTTATACTTCTAATATGCTCAGTTATTCGGTATTTTAAATGTCTTCCCGTTCCTCCTATGTATTGCATGCCACACTTTTTGCAGCTTATCAGGTAGATTACATTTTCCGAGTTGCATGTAACTTTTTGACGAATCCTTATTTCTGCTGTCTTCTGTTTGTTTGTTGCAATTTTCCTTTCTTCGGAATATTGGCAGGTACTGCACGATTTTCTGCCACATTTGAAAAAGCCTGGATTCTTTTTAACGGGAGTTTCTGGTTTCAATTTTGCTCTGAATAATTTTTCCTCTAGTGTGGGGCATTTACGATAGGCTAATCTTGGTGGTTTTGGGAAAATTTCTTTTAGTCTATGGTTGTTATCTAAAATGTATTGGTAATCTGAAAATATTTTTCGAAGGTTTGGTTGGGTCGGGTGATAGTTTGTGATGAAGGGAAGCAAAGTTTCTTTTTTGGTTTCAGTTTTTGGGATTAAAAGGAGTTTTCTGTCGAGTTCTTTTGCAGATTGTGTTGCATCGTCAACTAAATTTTCTTTGTAGTTTCTCTTCGTGAGGTATGTTTTCATTATTTTTGCATGTTTATCAAAGAGCTCATTTGTTGAACAGGTTCTTCTTATTCTGATGAATAGACTTTTTGGAATATTTTTAGTGACATGTTTAGGGTGGCAGGACGATGGCGAAAGATACTGGTGCGAGTCGGTTTCTTTGCTGAAGATTTCCGTTTCCAATTTGTTGTTAATGATATGAACCTTAACATCCAAAAACGTAATCCAGTTTGTTGAGCATTCGAATGTAAATTTGATTGTTGGATGTAAAGAATTTGCTAAGGTAACAAATTCTGATAGTTTCTCTTTGCCATGTGTCCATATAAGAAAACAATCATCAATAAAGCGGCAATAGTACTGTGGTTTTAAAGGGGTTTTGTCTAATAAATTGGATTCCAGGTTTGCCATAAAAATGTTTGCATACTTGGGTGCCAATTTTGTTCCCATCGCAGTTCCCTGAATTTGAAGGTAATGTTGTTCGTCAAAAACGAAGTTGTTGTTTTTCAGGACTAAGTCGGCTGCTTTTGCTATCCAGGGGATTTCTTGTTTGTCTTCGCTGAATCTGTTGAGGTATTTTTCCATTGCTTCTATGCCATCGTTGTGGGGGATGTTTGTGTAGAGGGAGACTACGTCCATACTCACTAGTAAAGATTCCTGTCCTATTGTTTTGATTTTTTGTAAATGATTTAAGAAATCCATGCTGTCTCGAATATATGAAGGTATAACTCTTTTACACATGAGCGGAGTCAGTTTATAATCTACATAGGCCGAAAGTTTTTCTGTTGCTGTGCCATTCGTTGATATTATGGGACGACTAGGGTGATTTTTTTTGTGTATCTTGGGTTGGAGGCGTAGGCGACCTGGTTTGGGGTCTTTTGGAAGGATTGATTTAGCTAATTTATCGTCTATTACTCCAGCTTCCTTCATTTTTGAGCAAAGATTAATAACATCATTTCCAATTTGTCTTGACTTATCTTTCGGCAGAAGTCGGTACACCGATTTGTCATTTAATTGACGCATCCCTTCAGCGACATAGTCAGTTCGGGATAGAATGCAAATACCTCCTCCTTTATCGGCCGGAACTATAATGATATCTCGTGCTGCTCGTCCTTCGAGTTCTTTTAGTGCCATAATTTCATCTTTATTTAAATTAGGGTAAGCATGTTTTTCAGGTGTCTTTTTGCCTATTTCCCGTTTGATAGTATTAGCGAAATGATCCAGATCCGAGTTTCGGCCCGATGGAGGTGTCCATTTGCTAGCTATTCTTAATGACTTCGGGTACGGATTGTTGGGCTCTGTAACATTATCATCGAATGTTGTATTGGCAAAAAATTCTCTTAATCTGTAATTCCTGATAGTTCTGTCGACATCCGCCTGTAGCTGGAATTTATCAAATCTTTCTGGAGTGGGACTGAAGCCAAGTCCTTTCTCAAGGACGCTAATTTGTGATTCGGTTAGGGGAATATTTGACAGGTTGTGTATTTTGGATGGCGTGGAGGTCATTTCTTCTTTTTGTCTCCTCTTCTTTTTGCTGAATCTTCTATTTTTTCTTTTTGATTCGGACATATTCCTACATTCTCGGTCTGAATTTTTGAAATTGTTTCCTTCTTGAGCTGACTTATGCTTTTTCGTTCTGGTTCTGTCAAGTTTTTCTTTCAATTTTTTGTTGGACATGCCGATCATTGAACGAATTGTATTCAAAGTATATGAGTCTAGTTTATTTTCTAACCGCTTTTCCACTTCTATTCTGTGTGTAGTTACGTCTCTCAGTCTTCTACAGCATTCTTTGAGAGCGTGTCTGGTTAATTGCTTTGAAAATTCTTTGTGTAGATTATGCCATTTTTCTTTGTTCTGCACTGGAACTGGACACGACTTTAAGGAAAGTGTAAGACCCTTTGGAAATGTTTTTGTCGATACAAACTGTTCTAGGCTTAGTTTATGGTGTTGTAATCTGATCTCATTAGAGGCAATTTTCTTCAGATTATTAAAGTCCCTTCTGTGATGTATGTAAATGCAGTTCTTGTTGTAGTTGATGAGTCCGGAGTAGGTAGGATCCATTTTCGGATACAGAAGTCTCGCAACAATGCTAACTTGCGCTGATTATTTGGTTTCTACGAGACTAACTACTTATCCTTCTTCTATGTTTTTGTGCCGGTGGATCCGTATGCGTATAATGCAAGGATGCTGTAGCAAGAGTAAAGATAACAATCCTAAGTGATTCAAGAGTCTTGCTGCACACTAACACAAATATATTTCTGTAACGTTTCGTCTGACCAAGGTCAGACTTCTTCAGACATACATAATTCAGCTACAACACGAAAAGCAGTTACATGCATATTTAAACAATCATAGTAGAATTATAGGAGTCACGCATGTTAAATAATCAAATCTGTGAATTTCTTGATTAAATAACAGCGGGTGGCCGAAATAAGTGTCATTGATGAGATCTCTCTCTTTGTTTTATATTTAGCAATTGAAGTCCAAATTACACAATGGTGTTTTATTTCTCAGTATTGTATAATGCAGACCAGAAAAGTTGTCTGTGTGTCAAATGTAATATAGTGATATTTTGTCTGTTATTAGCATATCTGGCCATGCATGATCCAATTCTGAGAAAAAATTTATTAGGTACAAGAATTGATTAAAACAATGAATGAAAATATCTAAACTTCCTTAATATTCATCCCTTGGGACTCGTGTGTCCCGAAAAGATGAATGTAATGGGGTTCCTTGTTCTTTCGATAAATGTGGTCATGAAATAGTTTTTCAATGCCAATGACACTCAAATCTTTAAGCGAATGTCCCGGTTGACTGAAATGGGCGCCAACAACCAGATCTTTGTTTTGGGTTTTTATACTTCTAATATGCTCAGTTATTCGGTATTTTAAATGTCTTCCCGTTTCTCCTATGTATTGCATGCCACACTTTTTGCAGCTTATCAGGTAGATTACATTTTCCGAGTTGCATGTAACTTTTTGACGAATCCTTATTTCTGCTGTCTTCTGTTTGTTTGTTGCAATTTTCCTTTCTTCGGAATATTGGCAGGTACTACATGATTTTCTGTCACATTTGAAAAAGCCTGGATTCTTTTTAACGGGAGTTTCTGGTTTCAATTTTGCTCTGACTAATTTGTCCCTTAGTGTGGGGCATTTACGATAGGCTAATCTTGGTGGTTTTGGGAAAATTTCTCTTAGTCTATCGTTGTTATCTAAAATGTATTGGTAATCTGAAAATATTTTTCGAAGGTTTGGTTGGGTCGGGTGATAGTTTGTGATGAAGGGAAGCAAAGTTTCTTTTTTGGTTTCAGTTTTTGGGATTAAAAGGAGTTTTCTGTCGAGTTCTTTTGCAGATTGTATTGCATCGTCAACAAAATTTTCTTTGTAGTTTCTCTTCGTGAGGTATGTTTTCATTATTTTTGCATGTTTATCAAAGAGCTCATTTGTTGAACAGGTTCTTCTTATTCTGATGAATAGACTTTTTGGAATATTTTTAGTGACATGTTTAGGATGGCAGGACGATGGCGAAAGATACTGGTGCGAGTCGGTTTCTTTGCTGAAGATTTCCGTTTCCAATTTGTTGTTAATGATATGAACCTTAACATCCAAAAACGTAATCCAGTTTGTTGAGCATTCGAATGTAAATTTGATTGTTGGATGTAAAGAATTTGCTAAGGTAACAAATTCTGATAGTTTCTCTTTGCCATGTGTCCATATAAGAAAACAATCATCAATAAAGCGGCAATAGTACTGTGGTTTTAAAGGGGTTTTGTCTAATAAATTGGATTCCAGGTTTGCCATAAAAATGTTTGCATACTTGGGTGCCAATTTTGTTCCCATCGCAGTCCATATAAGATTGTCCATAAGATTGTCCATATATGATTGTTTAAATATGCATGTAACTGCTTTTCGTGTTGTAGTTGAATTATGTATGTCTGAAGAAGTCTGACCTTGGTCAGACGAAACGTTACAGAAATATATTTGTGTTAGTGTGCAGCAAGACTCTTGAATCACTTAGGATTGTTATCTTTACTCTTGCTACAGCATCCTTGCATTATACGCATACGGATCCACCGGCACAAAAACATAGAAGAAGGATAAGTAGTTAGTCTCGTAGAAACCAAATAATATAGAGTGGTATGTTGTTTTTAATAGTCATTCTAAACGCTGCATTTGCTTCGTGATATTAATATAAAAGCGGCTTTTATTTTTATTCCAACTTATAGCATTGGAAGTGGAAATTGAGAATATCACGACCAAAGTGATGCGCAGTCACGAAGGTTTGTCTTAATTAAATGATGCATTTGGTTCGTGATATTAATATCAAACGGCTTTTATTTTTATTTTTACTTATAGAATTGGAAGTGAAAATTGAGAATCTTACGACCAAATTGATGCACAATCCTGAAGGTTTGTTCAATTAAGAATAGGATTTTCTTCTATTTCTATCCAACTAAATCAACGCAATAATTAATGGTTCAATATAAAAATTGCTTAAGTTACGTTCGTCATGCACAACGTCCGTTCATGTTTGTGAGTTGTCTGTGTTATTCGACTCACAGAAATAATCTCGTACTGTTGTATCTTCAACTCATCTTGCTATATTTTGCAAACGTGTATATGTGACTACTAAGATGAAAGCTATGTATGTATGTTCATCCGTGCCATAAATTTATCTATAGATTAACAAGAAACGGTGTTAAGGTGTCTTTGGACTAGTTACTCTACAACAAGTTCATGTACGTCGCCAGGTTCGAACTCAAAGTGACTAGAGTCATTCAAACGAAATGAATTGACTCGAATTTGAAATATGCTAACTACCTGACAGACTCTATTTAAAACAAAGATTATTTTGAGTGGGTCATTGAAATGGCAAAAAAATTTGTTTACTTGCGATTTAACACGTCGATTGATATTGCGTCGATGTAAAATTAAAGAACAATGTATTGCAGCAGCAGTTACTAAAAACCTGCCCTGTGCATGCATGGTTTAATGTTAGTTTGATTTTGAATATATTGAATTGCTAAAAATATAGATATACTGATATTGATACTCGAAGTTTTAACTTAGTGTGATGTGAAACAGCGTTTTGTCTTGTCTTGATAAACTTTAGCATTTGCTGAAATCAATAAGGTGTATATGTATATTTTTTTCAATTTTCATTTTAAATAGTGATTTCATTTTCAAATTAATATACAAACGCCCATATTCTTCATTTTAACTCACAGAATTGGAGATGAAAATGGTAACGATGAATAATCGTATAAGAAAGATTGATACTGACACCACCTTGATCCGCATCAATTATAAAGGTTTGGGCCTTAAGAATTATTTCATGTTATCCATCTCATTCGATAAGGTAAACAATGTCCGAATATGGCAATTCAATTCAATGTGTAGGCTTATTTGGTTTTCATATTTTTATAGATAATAGATGAGACAATATTTAGGAACAATTCTTTTACTTTGGTGATGCTCCTGTTAAAATGCAATAATAAATTTTAAATGGTGTCTATTTTTTATTAGTTTTAAAAGCTGCATATGATTAGTGATAGTATTATAAATAAAAACCTTTTTTTTTTATTTGAACTAATAGAATCGGAATTGAAAATTGAGAATCTTACGATCAAAGTGATGAGCAATCAAGGTTTGTTCAAATTGAAATAAATGGATTTATTTTATTTTAGTCAATCATTAGCCAGCTTGGCCAATGAGGTAGTTGATGGCTCAATATGAAAATTGCTTATGTATTCGTTCGTGATGCACAACGTTTGTAAATGTATATGTTATCCGACTCGCACAAATGCTTTTATACTTATACGCAACTAATCTTCGTACAAAGAGGTCATATCTCAAACTCTTCTTTGTATATTTATTAAGCAATCGTATAAAGTTTACGATTAAGATGATCATTTTCACAATATTAGAATCCAAGGGAATGCTGAAGATGGCATTTTATTTCACTAAAATTGCTATATATACAATAAAGATAACAGTAGATTAAAAAAAAATTCAAACAATGATGTTTCCTCAACGCTTGACCCGAGAAAATTTCTTTCTATACTTGACCACTGCGAAATTACTTATGCTTATTTTGAGAGTTTTTCCGTGAAATACCGCTTACTTATTTCATAACCTTCATGGCATCGCAAGTAATAGATATAGTCGTTGGCTATTTAATCATTGTCCTTCATTAAAAACGTCCACAGCTACCGCTAAATGCTTTGCTTGTAAGGTGAATTAAACACCGGTTACAATTTGTACCCTGAAAGAGCCGAGAACAGTGGTTCCGCATGTATTTAGGGCGCGTCTTAGGCCTAGCCATATTTACAGCATGATATGTTGTTATTTTGCGTCACAGTTGATCGCTCGCTAGACGACATGATCTAGATCCGCCGCTCATTCTGATTGCCTATATCTTCATTCTCACCTCACATGAAAGTATAAAGAGTATTCGTGTATATACTGTATATATATGTAGGCCAAAGTGTAACCTGACAAGAGATTCAATAGCGATATTTTGAAAATTGTTCATAGTGGAATTCTAGACAACATATGACAAAACTTTCATAATTTCATAGATTGGATTATCTGAGATATGATATATTGCTGAAATTCACGAAATCGTGAGTTAAAATTCGAACACATATAGATCAGCGAATTTTAGGCTAAATTTGAAAAAATTTTCACCAGTCGATGCAAAAATTTCGTATTTATATTTTCAAGGAGTGGTTTCAATTATCTATTTAACCTTTGACCCCCAAATGAAAAATTTTTTCTATTGTAGTTGTACTGAAAATGTTAGTAGGATTTCAATGAAACAAAACTAAAAATAGTAATATAATCAAAATTCATTGAATAGTTTTCGAGAAAATTGGGTTCAATTTTTTTTTAAATGTTTTTCGGTTATAACTTTTGATATAATTATTACAAAAATGTTGATACCAATTGGTATTGGTATTGGTATTCAATTGGTATTTCAGAAACGCATCCAACGATATATTCCTTAATGATATTGGATAGCTAAAAAAGAAATTAAAAATTTTGAAATTTGCAAATAAATGGGATTGGGAAACTTATTATCGCATATCGAAGTTACTCGGGTTTCATCGATTATTTTAATTTTCCGCCGTTGATGTTTGTTTTTTTGTTGTATTCAAATATATTTGAATATAATAAGTGCATTGCACGTGCTTTTCATCAACTTTAGGCAAAAAAAAACTCGAAAATATCGCTTCATGATGGATGGTGATGTTATCAAAAACGCAATTTTCGCCGTAATTATCATACCGTTTTCAAGCGATAATATGTTGTATTAGCATTTTAGCAATTAAAAGTATTTATATGAGCAAGTTGAAACTATATCTAGTATTTTGGTACATCACATCATTAAATCGAACCATCACCTGAATAATTAACAAATTTTTAAACAAATATAGTTACCATTGTGGGAACGAGAAGATAAATCGCCGAAGTATGAACACTCAAATTCCCGCAGAATTAAATCCAATAGTCCGGCCTAGTAAAACAATAAAATTAGGGCACAAAGGGAGTGAAAGTGGAAAACGAAATAACTCGGCATCGGCATGAGCGACTTAGACTTGCGATAGAAAGTTGTTCTAATTCCTACATTTTCACGAGTCTCAGTAACAGGTTGTATCCCATTTGTTAATTAGGAATACTGTCGCTTAAAGGATCACAGAGCTTCCAAATATGCCACAGTTCGTTAAAATAGATTTTAGAGCTAATTAGCTCTTTGTAATCTGAATTTCAACTGTGCAGCGTTCAATTTCCGATTGTCAGGTTATGAATTTTTCAGAGTGGGATGCGTCCAAAATAGCTCACAATGTACTAGAGATTACCATAACTCATTTGCTTATGGGATAGTCAGAAATTAGTTACGCCAGCCCCAGCTCTTTCTGCCCTGGACCGCGATATCGAAAAAACACTATATTCCTGGCGTTTTCGAACAAAATTCACAAACTTTAAAAAATTGTCAAAAGCTAACCATAGGCCCAATCCCTACAGTTCTTGGTTTTTTTGAAAGGCAACTCCAAGCACAGCACCAGGAAACTAAGTTTTTCACACCTGTTCTAACAGCAAGCCAGTGGCATGGCTCAGCTTTGACACACTTTTTACGGCTCTCAAATTTCGTCCGAAATATGACTAAAATGACCACTTTCAAAGACAAAATACTCACACACAAACTATAAACACTACACATATCAAACTTACTCACAAGAAGGGTAGAGGTGTAACCTTATTGGGAAAATTTGCAGTTTTTCTCTAACTGACATGAAATTGTCATGGTAGGCTGATGAATTTCAGGTAAATGGCAGAAATTTTCGAAAAAATTGAAAATTTTGTTTTCGAAAAATCAGATATTTATATTTACATATGAGTAAAAAATGACACAAAAAAATTAAATTCAGTCAGTTTTGAAAGAATGTGAATAACAGTGGTGAAAAAGAATGTGAAAAGAAAGTGTGCATACGAAATAATAATAGCGAAAATGAAGAATTACACAGTATGTACATAAAACACCTTGGTGCACGTAAAAAGAAAAATCAGTCTCTGACAAAGTCAACAAAAATCACAGTCTCTGGCAAAGTCAACAAAAATCACAGTCTCTGATAAAGTCAACATCACAATATTGCACATAAGTTTTGATTCCTATTCCCAATAGTTTGGGAGGGTGTGAAACTTCTCGAAACACGGGGTAACACAAAGTGTTACCTGGCATTTCTCACACCAATATGAAGACCATTTTTGTTTCAATTTTCTGCTACTGCCTTCTCTTTCTTTTTTGTCCCGTTCAGAACACACCCTGCAAACTCGTGTGGGATGATTAATAGTGGTTGTCGCAGGCATGAAAGAAGGAAAATGCCTCCCTATCAGACGTGAGCTATCACTGAGATCACTTAGTGTAGTGATTTGAGCCTGACCTAAAGCACCAGATGTAGCAAAATCCTCTGAAATCACTTGTATGAATGATAATAATGTCAGTTTTTTTTTTGCATCGGATTGGAGCATATTAAAAATTTTGTGTGCATTCACAATGGCCAAATTCACAAGGTGAAAAAATAGTTTGATGTACCACTTGATGGTTTTTCTTGTAACACCGTAATAGCCCAACATCTGGTCGCTTTTGTCAACTCCAGCCATATTCCTATTGTAATCGTGGACTACCACAGGCTTGAGTTTCTGTTTTGATCCACCACGTCCCCTGACAGTGACTTCCACCATGTCATTGTTATGGATTGAAGATAGCATCAAAACATCTTTTTTGTCTCTCCATTTCAATGCCATCAACTTGTTTTTTCGGCAGGAGAGCAACTCGCCTCTTTTCAATTTTTGATTTAGATATGATTTCGGTAACTGTTGCCGATTCGGCATGCATGTACCAACTGCACGTGTATTTTTTTCTGCCAATGCATCATACAAGATGGGAGAGGTGTAGTAACGGTCCATGTATATTATGTGACCTTTGTCTAGTACATCTTGTGAAAGTTCCATGACGAGGTTGAAAGTTTTATTTTGAGAAGGGTTTTCCTCACTCATCCCAGTGGCAATTTTGAAGCGGAAACAATATCCCGACTTCGCCTCACACATTTCATACAATTTGATACCCCATTTGTGAGGTTTCATCGGATTGTAAACCCGAAATCGCACTCGTCCTTTGAATGGGCAGGTTCCCTCGTTCAATGATATTTTTTGCTCAGGATAAAGAACCTCTCTAAATCGTTGCTCAAAGACGTTTATAACTGGCCGAAGTCTGTGCAGTGGATCGTGTCCTTGAACGTGAAACGGGATGTATGATGAGTTGTCATTAAAGTGCAACATCCATAAAATGGAAGTAAACCTGTCCCTGGACATAAATGATGGACAAAACGACTCACGATATGAAATATTATTGGACCAATACTGCCTCAGTTGTGGTTTCTTGACAATTCCTGTGTGGAGCATGATACCCAAAAAAATTTTCAACTCTGGCACAGTGACTGGCTTCCAGATTTTCAAGATATTTCTTGTGGCAGTGTCCGATTGTTGTGATGATGCTAACTTTTGTGAAGCATACAGATTAGTTTGGGTTTTCATGTTTTCAAAAAATTCTTCTGTGAAGAATTCACTCAAAACATTCATGGGAGTGATATTGTTGATACAAGAAACGTTGATCCTTGGAATTCCTGTAAATGTGGGAGGGTCAGGGACTTCGTTTGGGTCTTCAGACCAGATTAGGGGAGGAGGTTGCAAAACAGTAGTCGAGGAGGAAGTGGATGGCTGGGTTCCCGGAGAATGTGGGGGACTTGATTCCCGACTTTCACTATGAGAAGAATCCCGACTTCGAGGACGTCCTCTTGACCAGACCCTTCTCCGACGCCTGCCACGTGATCGCCGAGGGCTCGAAGCTCCGAACATTCCGCCCGTTGACGCTGCTGCTTCAGCTGGTACATCTTCAGTGCTCGCAGCATAGCGCCTAGCCGGGACTGGGACAACCTCTTCATCGGAGCTAGATGACTCACTCGTCTCTTCCCACTCGTCACCAGAACTAAAAGAAAAATTGCGTTGATTAACGACTGGATTATTACTAATAACAAGTCCAAGCTATGAGGCTTGCTCAAACAATTGCCACAGTCAGCTTACAAACTATCATTTTCTCAGAATATAAAGAAAATTTTTTTTAAAAAATAGCAGAAGAATGCATGCAGGTATTGCACTTACCTTGCATCAAAATCGCTCTCACTCTCCATTACGGTACCTTGTCTGATTTATAGCTACCAGAATCCTAATAAACTTACAAATACGTCTTATATAACAATATCCCTTTAGAACCGAAATCAACTGCATAATAACAAAAAAACATAATAATAACTGCATAACAATAATAAAAAGACGACTCTCGTCCGCAGTCATAAACACTATTCCCTGTGTCGACGACAAATGAATAGTCCAAAGTCTACTCTGAAGTCTCAAAACAAAGAACGAATGTTCCCTAGCTATTTTTGGTGGTTTACGAGCTTCAATTTTCAATGAACAAACATACAACTGCAGAGAAAAAAGCAGAAAAATATCAAAAAAGGGGAACACTGGAATTCCCCTTTAAATCGCCCAATACGCTCGAATGGTTCGAGCGATAGCTCATAATAACGGGCTCGAAACACACTAACGATTGATACCAAGATCGTATGCCTCGTGCCCGTTGAAGCGGAGATATGACGTCATATTTTACCCGCAATATACTGCGGTTCAGGTTGGTGGTGTTTCTCGCCATCCGCATTATAGTGCGGCTCAGGGCGCGAAGAGTTGTAGTTAGTATTACGTATTTCCAACAATATGAAAATCACAGTGACGTCATACGGTTTTCTGAGTGAAATTACTTTTGGCGTCATAACAGAGATGTTCATGTAATGTGATGTCATAAATAAATATGAAAAAATTCGCAAAATACGAAATTTCCGTTGTACGGAAGATCCGTATGATAATCACGCAAGTATACTGAATAATAAGTTGAATATAAAAAACTAATAAACCGCGTCACCAGTAAACTTGAAGTCATAGTAGCTATTTCTATTCGTGCCAAAGAAGCAGGGACTTGACCCAAATCCTACCATTTTAGTATTTTCAGTATTTTTCAAGTCGCTCATCTCGGACTTCAAAGAGAGAGGTGTAGGAGTATTATTAAAACGTATCTGGGCATTATTTGATATGTACAATAAGGGGGATGGCAATATTGTTAGCAGCGCAATGCAGATCGTGGCTTTATATAGAAGTATGTTTAGACAGCAAAAATCGCCATGTAGTTTAGAGTGACTGCTCTGTACCATTGACCGACAAACAATTCCATTATGTCAAAGTAACACCGTTTCTCCCACATGTTTTTCAATGAACCAAAATTATCTTACATACTATAAACTTTCCATTTTAATGTTCTCAAGTTTGCTTGAAAAGTTTTTCTGATCTTTGACAGACTTCCGTACACGTTCAATGATCTCCTGTCAGCATCGTATTTTCCCAAATCTGTTATTAAAAAAACGAATAATAAATTTATTTTACAAAATAATAAATATACAAAATAAAATAATATATAAAATAATATAAAAGTATATCTTTCTAAAAAAATATTGGACTATGTTAAAGCACATAATGGGCCACGCAAACTTTATTTGATCTAAAATGCATCTTGAGGAAAAAAGAATTTTGTTGAATTGGGTTGGGAAAAATACCATATTGCACCGGTATGAATGTTTCACATTCATTTATCGATACATATAGCTCCTTGCTTATTATGGAATTACTTTATCTCTTTTTGTTAGCTTCCAAGCGAAATCTAGATAAGGTATTCAGTAATCAAGCATGTGGTTAAGAAAGAATATGGGACTTGTTGGTGAATCAAATGGTTCACATCAGATGTATAATTAGTTAATTTTCCGATTGAGCAATGCTAGAATGTACAGAATTGATTGGTTTGAATAACTTAATTTTTATTGCTCAAAACAAAACTCAATCAGGTGTTTCAAAAACAAATGGATATTTGACATTATAACAGTTGTTCAATAAATTATATTCACCTATAAATAATGAATTGAACTTTGGCAACTTCATTCACGAGCTGTGGTATACAGTGATTGTCCAGTCCTTCAAATAAAAATATTATTAGGCAACTTACCAAATATTAACTGGCACAACACAATATTAACAACATTATAAAGTTTTTATATATAGTTAATTGAACTGATATATCGGCCAACCCTGAAAAAAAGCTCACTCCTAATAATATCACAAAATAAAGATAAAATTACCTAGACTCTCAGTTGCGTTCGTCTTTCACTGTCCTCTCCAACTAGAGTTGGGATGAACAGAAATTGTCATAAAATCAGGTTATTTCCCACCAATCTGCCAATGAGAATTTAAGAAGCGCAACATGTTGGCTATTCCGAACAGGTCGCTGTGATTACCGAATACCGTTCCGCCGCTAACTACCTTTACATGCGAAATCCTATTCTGTCGCACTGTAGAGGACTATCACGAATGCACCATATATTTTCATGTTTTCCATACTTAGGTAGTGGGATACTTTGCAGACTCAAAGTGACAACATTATCCCAAACTATTTCTTTGTATACCATATCTCAGAGCCTTTCCCGTCGCCCAAATACAGCGAAAATAACATGCAAAGTATGCCGCTATCTTTGCTATAAGTCATTTTCATATCATGGCTTCGGTTATTTAGAGTTTAGACCAATACTTCCGTTACCAAATATAAATAAAAAAAACATAATAAATATGTACATTTTAAGTAACTATGCAATTAATACAATATGATTGATTTCATAATATTGTGCATGAATGGTCGCTGCTGGTAGCAAGCGCCGCGAAATAAATGTACACGCGATATTTGTTAAGCTTGAATAAGAGTTGAATTTTAATAATACTTAAAATATACAGAATATCTCAGTCAAGCATTGTCTGCGGATTGTTCGGAATATAGAGAAAATTTATCTCGACTTGGTCGGAGAGTTACTGCAGGAAAAGAAACAATTTATATTACGTTAGATGGAGAGATTGCAAGTGTTAATTGCGATTTTAATGAATCGAACGAATGGACAGTAAGATTATTAAATTAATTTTAACATGCTTCTCCAAGCTAAATTTAGGAGAGACTTAAACTTTGGTTTGAAAAGTGGACTTACGTTTGTGTAACCACTTGATGTTGACTAAATCAGATTTCATACCATCACAAAAAAAAAATTTGTTCGATAGCCATTCAAGATTATGAATAATAAGAAACCACAATAAGCTTGTGATAGATCTCTCATCCTAAATTAACGCGAATTAAATTTAATTCATATCTAAAAATTTCTTCAATTTGAAATTTAATCAACGTCGCATATACTTGCTGCGGTTTATGTTTATTACTTCTTCTTTCCAAAGTGTATCAAAGTCGCTCACACATTTACTGAAAATTTTCATTTTTTTTGAATTACAAATACGAAAAAAATGAATAGTAACTAACTCCTAGTTAAATCCATCATAATTAGGTATTTTAACTAATTTTTATGATATGACATTTTTCGTGTTATTTATCAAAAAAATAAACTTTTCCATATTTTCCTCAAGGTTATTCAACGTAGAATGGATGGCAGTGTCGATTTTTACAGAGGATGGGAGGAATACAAGAAAGGCTTCGGAAATCCCGATGGAGAGTTATGGCTGGGTAAAAAGCTTATTTTATGAAGATTTTATGCCTAAAAAATCATAATAAAAAACGCATAAAACAAGTTATTGTATAAAAGAAATATTTGTATACTCGTACTTTATTTTTTAAATTTTATATTTTTTCATCAGGTCTAGATAAGCTCCACAGAATGACATCAAGAAAAAACTATAGTTTACGAATTGATCTTTTGAACTGGGAAGGCGAAAGAAGATATGCAGCTTACAGGTCTCGTGCTATTTAATCCTAAGAATATTATTTTTTCACGACTGAACACGTACGCAAAACATTTTTAATATCACTTACTTCCGAAGTCGCGACTCTCGATTTTTGGTGTATGCTTCAATAGATAAGTATGTAGGCATAATACAAGTCTTATTATCGGTGCGTATGCAAAGCGAGTCATATTGATAAAGTATGTATTTCAGGAAATATGAATGATGTTATTAAAACAAATACTTTTAGGATTAGAGATCGTAGGTGTTGTAAATTATGTACGTTTTCGGAATGTTTAGTTGTCAGAACTGATGGATATATAGTCAAGTTGCAAAAATGCGCATGTCCTATGAGTCACGTGCTGGCGTCATACAAATGAATTTAGATCTGGCTACGGCTAAAAAAGTGAACTATGTGAAAATATTTACTCTTAATGGCATAACAATATCTTCAACAAAAAAATGACTCAAAACTGATAAAAATGACTTAAACGTAATTTTGTTATTAGCGTTACGATATTATATTGATGACTTAATTGGTAAACATGAAACAATTTTTGTACAACTTATTATTTTATATTTTTGATATATATGTTCAGTACCTTCCGAATTGGAGACAAAGATTCAAATTATCGTCTCACTGTATCGGGATACTCCGGAAATGCAAAGGATGGAATGAATCGTCACAACAATCTTCCATTCACCACGCATGATAGAGATAATGATCAAAGCAGAAGTAACTGCGCTGTACGATATCACGGAGCATGGTGGTATGACAGTTGTTATGCAGCAAATCTGAATGGAAAATATTACAAAAGTTCGTCAGGGCCTACAGGCAATGGGGTATCTTGGCAACATTGGGACGAGGATGATTATTCTCTGAAATTTGTCGAAATGAAGATTAAGCCAAATTAGCAAGCAACTTGCTAATATTGATCAAAATTGGATCAATGCCTAACATCAGTGAATAGATCACTTTATACATGTTCGAATATGTCTCGTACTATAAATCATCTTTGAGTTTCAATGCCTCATAACTGACTGAATTTGGTGATCGCAATACATTGCAGTAATAAACTTTTTAACTTGGTAAAACATCTGTTTTATGGAACAGTTGCACCAACTGACCGTGACACTCGAATGGTATAAAATTACGAAACTGTTCGAATTCAATTACATCATACGTTTGAAATATATTTGTATATTTACTTTTTACTTGTGTACTTCATTTTTGCATATTGGCATCATTAAAAATTTTGAACTACAAACAATGAGTTATTCCTCAGTCGAAATCACGTTGTCAGGATACGCTCACTCAAGTGGGCTGTGGCGAAAAATAATTGCTAGAGGAAACATCTAAAAATTTTCAGGGTTTCATCATGAAAGTTGCTTGCTTGCTCGTATGTAAAAAGTGTATTTTCGATGTGGTGATAAAATAAACTACTGATTACTGATTCAAATTAACTATGGAACTGTGAGGATATTTTCAGGATGTTTATTCATTGGCGTGGTTTAAGCAAGGGTATATCGATTAGGTGATTTCGTATTTATATCGGTTTGAATTGGTAAATTAGGGAAGAGTCAAACGAGATAGCGATCGGAAGCCGTCGACTTATCGATCTAGCGGCGTGTATCCTTCGCTCTGACTCAATAGCACCACAGCGTATCCCATCAATAATTAATTGATACCTCCCTAATTATACCACATAATTCATCCAAATCAATAGGCTTCTGGTCCGAGATATGATGAATGCACGTGAAAAATTTAGAGCAGGGTTAACCTCGCTTTTGTGAGATATCGCGAGTGTCTAACAGACAAAGAAGACAGACAAATACCTATCAACATACCTACCAATCGAGATCGATAAGTAATAACACTGAAGGCTGTTTCGGAAACATATCAAGTTTGCATTTCTGCATATATATAGTTATCAATCGCCGTCAAAGATAGCATGATTAGGTATTTACTTGTCCATGGGAAACGTCACTTGGGATGGGATGGGACAGCACAACTGCGTATTTCCCATGGGACCACGAAATACCGTATGATTTTTGGGGAAATGATGGTAAAATATTTCATTATGGACTCGATCATCATACTCTGTTCACAAAGATATAGAATAGACAGTGCTTCCGTCAGCTTAGAACCAAAAATAAGATTTTCTCCAAGAATATTTAATTATATTTATCACCAACAGCTATTTGTTACAACAATTTCTTCTTGTTTTGCACAGTTTTAATAGAAAATCATTACAAATCGAGTCCATATTTAGTTTTTTATGTAAGAGAGACTGTAGCCTACAGGCTGTAGGTAAAGAAGGTGAGTTTTGGTGGGTATTTACTTTGAAGGAAAACAACACTAAAGCATAGTCCCCTAAATGAGAGTACTCCCGAAGTATGTGGACCAAGATGGTGGACATCGGAACGTAGTATGTGTACCAGGTAAGGATTAGGCCATAATTTTATTCCAATTTTCCATTACGAGTTCGGGGACTAGCCAAGGGACTCCCGCAGTATTTGTTCCTGAAATTATGGCCTAACTCTAATCTGATACACATACTACGTGTCCGCCATCTCGGTTCACATATTTCGGGAGCACCAAATGGAGGAGATCAAGACTAGCGATTGAAAACCCTGAGAATATAGAAATAGCCTTTAATACAGGAGGGCCAGATACAATAAATTGGATGAAATCGCGGGCTGCACCTTTTTAACATATGCGTTTAAGTAGTTACAGGCACAAAAGTTTTCGTTATTGATCTTGTGACATGCGTTGTTTGCACAAGCTAGCTGTTAAGGCATTGTAAGGCATATCTAATAAATTGGACCCGGGTATAAGATACGTAACGCAAAGGGATTTGAATTACTCGCACGTACTGAATTAATTCAGAAACTTGTATCGCGGCACTGGCTTTCAAAACTGGCACGTCTCCGCGGGTCGCACAAATTTTCCTTGAGTGCCCCACATGGCCCGCGACGCGCAAGTTGCACACCCCTGTAGTATATAATCGGAGAAGTAAAGACAACAAGATTGAAATATCTAGCCCTAGGTCAGTATCCCAGCTCCATATGCGCCGTAGGAGTAGGTAAAAATATTGTTCAGAAGAAACACTCGTGGCAGCATTATATCACATAAACGATACATTCGGCGAGATGATATATGCATGTCGAAGACAAAAATTAGCGAACTAGATACAATCTTTATTTTGATTATTTGTCATGCTATTGCTATGTGCAATTTACTGTTTAAACGGGGTCACCCAATCCCTGGACCGTGGGCCACAAATTGCAGGCAGAAGAGTTCCGAGTGGCCCGCTCCGTATTTTTCGAAATTAAATAAACCAAACTTAACCCGACGTCCCCCACAAATTTGACACCTCCAATAAACAAAATCAAGTAAATTATTATTAAAACAAATATACCTCGTCGTTCAAACGAGCGTTATCACATGCACCAAACCGTGCGCTCTGGTCGACATCGATGTTTTTTTCATTTCTCGAAGGACCGCGCGTTTTGCTCAACGAAATTAAAGGCTATTGTGCGATTATTCGTCGAGAAAAATTAAAGGAACGAATTTGCAAACCAAATTTCAAAATTTAATTCAATATGATTTTAGCTTTCGGGTAGGCTTCGATCATCCTTATCGCCACCGTAAAATAAAAGGTGTACTGTACAATATCTTTGCTACTTGCTTTTTTGCGTTAAATAAAACTTATGAAATTGAGTCACTGCGTAAAAATGCGTGCATATTGTGTTCAGATATTCACAATAGCTCTGTGCAATCAGAGCGTTTGCTTCAGCCACGCGCGAAATTCTAACGTAAAAACTTATAATTATATATATATATATATATATAAGTATATCTTACTAACATTAATCACCTCCTAAGTTGATGTCAGATATATTCAAGTATGTAATTGTATTCAGAATATCCCGCGGCTGTGCGATTGGTTGGAGGAAACATCACTCAACGTTCAGGTCGTGTTGAAGTTCGTTAGAACGCTATATGGGGGACGATCTGTGATGATGGCTGGGGGCAGGAAGAATCAAACGTTGTCTGTCACTTGCTTAGTTTCGGAAATGCTTCAAGATATTATAGTAATGCGCACTTTGGAAAAGGCGATGGGAAGATATGGCGCGATAACGTCAAATGCACTGGAATTGAAAGCGACATCACTTGTTGCCGACATATAGGTTGGGGCAATCACAATTGTGACAATGGCGAAGATATTTCCGTTGCCTGCGATTCTGTGCCGGAATCATGAAGTACAAAAAAATCATTTACTATATAGGCCCACAACATTATTGATAAATTATACAATCTTAACTAAACTTCTATGACGAGTCAATAAATGAAATTTCGTTGGAAATTCTTTAACAAAAATTATCAAGGCAGTTATAATAGCGATTATCTGTTATATTAAACCTATACATCTATCTAAGAACTTGAACAAATTTGACAATGCTATTGGTAAAAGTCTATCGAAATTTAGAATATGTACATGGATGAATGTTTACGTCATACAATGATAATTTGTTGCTTACATTCTTTAAACGATTGACATATTTAGATTTTGTCTGAATATTAATTTTCTTGAAAAATATGCAGTTTGTCTTTTGACAAAATATATATTTTGTTTAAATAAATCTTAGGCTAGTATTGAAAACTCTACTGTTTTATATAAAAAAATGTTTTATGTATCGTTTTTGTCTTAACTGTTCATCTGCTTCATGTTTTTTAGTTGTGTTGGAACCAAATGAGCTTTACGTTTTTTTAACAAACGAATTGTTTTATGCTTTTCTACTAGTTACAGATGAAATCATCTTCCAAAAACAATTATGGTTATATTTGTCATCTTGCATCTGAGTACTCTGGGACCGTTTTATTCCAAATCTTGCTGTTGGAAAAAAAAAATTTGGAACTAGAGATTTGCAACAGCATGGTGGATGTGCCGGTTCATTAACCTTTTCATGGACCTCAGAGCTTCATTTTTCCAGTTCGAAAATAATGCAGTCTAGTGTACGTTCCAAATTTCACAAATATTTGAAAAGAAATTTCTAAGATCTTGAATCTGATATAAAAGGGTTTCCGAAAGAAATGGATGTTGAAATTTAAAAGTTTGCTAGCCACTACAACAAACAAAAGATAAATTCTTTCATGATATCACGGTGAAATTTTTGATATTTATTTCAAATTATAATCGCATCACTTCGATTCCAATTAAACGTATTGCGAATTTGCAATGGAAATATTAAAGCATTTTAAACGTTGGAATACTTAGGTTCGAAAATTATCATAAATTGAACTTTTTAATACTTTTCGAATAATATACTGTAATATAGGTATTAGTATTGTTAGTAGCTTTCTTTGCATTTGTTTCCGCAAACATATTTATTAGAACAAAGATTTTATATGTTATATGTTTATCTCTTAAAATCTTGAGGAATCTATTTTTCGTTTAATATTTTTCTTTTTCGAGTTTTAATGTGAATCTACAGCAATCTTTGTCGATAAACGTATGCTCACAATGTATATAAATAAAAGTTTGATTGAAAATTTCGGATACATACGGTAACAAAGGCAAAATATTTTTTAAGAGAAAGTTCATTCAAAGAAATATAGGATTGAATGTTGGGTGAATTATTTCAACGTTAGAATGATTTTGGGTACTTTTGAGCCTTGTTGCATTCTCTAGGATTTCAGGTCAAGAAAGCAATACTCGGAGAGTAGCAAATCGGACTTTTATACAAGAGATCTACGTCAAAATATTTATACAAATAATTAAAAGTATGACGCGGTATATTTGGTCCATTCTCCTCATCCTAAATTAGATAAGAGTTCTGGGCAGATTTTATCTGTCATGGACGATCATTAGAATTTGAATTTATTGTCGATATGATCTGAAGATACTATTTTAGGTAAATCGACATAAATCAAATTATCCTCTTCAGGGGCGTAATCAGGGTTGATTTTGTGATTCCCACCACCACCCGCCTTTTTGAAGTGTAAAATAAGCATTTTTCCTCATCATACATAGCAATTTTATTCAAATCTGCGGCAGACAATAACTTCAAACGCTCTCAAACCTTAAAGACTTTCACAAACCGACGTTTTCCTTCCTCCGGCCGAACCTGGTAGCTGTTCCGGCTATTTTGTTTATTAGGATCATACAGTAACCAGGGCAATATAGTATTTCTCGTGTTCATAGACACGTTGGATTTGTATAATTCTGAAATT